TATGTTCATTCCTAGTAATGCGGCTATGCAGTATAATTTTTATTGTGGTCTGAGAGAGAGCTCGACACAACAGTATTCATTGATTGAGGTCTTATGTCTAGTATTTGGCTGAAACTCTCTTGTAGCCTTCCCATTTAACTATTAATCACATTTTAAATCACTCCCATATATATCTCTGTTGTTAGTCATAAATTTTTATCATTGTTTATTGGTAGGCTAGTTCCTTAGTCATCAAGTCTCAGCTGGCCGTTCAAAGCCTGTGTTATGTACTTAATTGGGGGTATATATTTTATAATACCTCAAGCAGGACTTGAGGTGATATTTTGTACCCATTGATGCATTACCAAACTCTAAGTTTGGATTTAACATTCAGATACTACTGTTAACTTTTGTGGTGTGGCATCTTTCTCTGAATTTTTCTTTTTGTTTATATTTTTGAACTTGTACAAGTGGAAACAAGTGAAAGAACTATTAATTGTTGTCTGGTAATGTCCATTCATACTTAAGTTTTGTGAGGATGCAACAGGTTTACATTCTTGACCAAGTAGATGTTGTAAACAATGTCCTGTGAAACGTTTAAAATGATCATGAACATGTCACTTTAAGCGAATTCCTCCTACTATGGATCTTTAACGCGCCTCGCTGGCAAGTCCTCTCTGCCAGACACATGCCATCAGTTATACTGGCTAGTACCATTTTTATCTAGGGGCATAATTTTAATAGAGAGGATAGCTTTTCTGAAGTTACCTACATAAGTTTTTTGATTTGCCATGCGGCCTTTCAGAACACGAGCGATCATGTTTTAACTGTTGTCATTATTCCATGTTTGAAAATGATGTCTTCTATTTCCCTGTTAAATGTGATATGTTAGACATGAAACAATCCTCAATGGGAAATGCCTGGTGAGGTAATTATATCTTGTGTTCTCTATTTTTTTCTAATTTGCATTAAGAACATGTGTAAAGTATGCAAACTAGCACCAATTCAGATCTACCACTGTCATTCCAATCTTGGAATATTGCTTTTGCTTTTACATAAAAGTAATGGAAATGGAGAATATTTATCAACTCCAGGAGACCACAGATTTTTTTTTGTTTCAAATGTGGTCTAATTAAATTCCACGGGGCTTTTGCTCTTGAGAAGAACATGCAATGAAGTACAACTAGATGTGGTGCTAGGATGCATAAGTGGTACTCTTCATGGTGCTGGAAGTTATCTATGCTTCACTCTAAAATATTTTAAATGTATAGATTGTAAAAAATACAAAAAACATGTTTCAAGTGTAAAATATGTATGTGCTTGTTCAGTTAGTGCTAATATCATGTATGTGAAAATAAGAACAGATGTGTGTATATAGTCATAAAACGATTGTTGTTACAAACTCAGCTTGAAGCTATGACAGCTCTTGTGGGTTATTAGTCATTGTGAAGTTTTTTTTTCTTATTTTATCTGAAAGTTATTTTACTCTTCTCTTGTTGCCATCTTGGTGGCTGGGAAAATATACTTCCAAATAATATTCCTCCATTTGACCATCTGTATTGTCTAGTCTCCAATTGTTGGGGCAATTCTGTTAGTTTTCATATGACCTATTTTTGTTATTCAATGGTCTTGTGATTTTTCCCTGATTTTTTCGTCGGCACTTTATTTGCAAATGTTACACAACTGCAGTGTCCGGCATGTTCTTTCAGCCTTTTGACCAACTTTTTGTTGAACTGATCATCCAGTTACGTTTTGCCTGGATCACACAGTAGATGCAACTGGTTGTACCTATTGGGCATGATGCTCATTCATCAGATTCCAACCTTATATATATTTTTCTACAATTGTGAATGACATGTGTGTGCCAAAAGTGGATACACATTTGTATGTAATAGGCATTACTCCTGCCATTATCATCAAGAGCTGACTGAGTATATTTGCTCTATGTGGAAAGATTCATCACTTATCACTCATTATGATCCAAAGGAAAACTATTTTTTATTATAAATGTGAGAGGAAATGCTTATCTTTTCCCAACGCTGCTCAATTTGAGAGGGGGGTGCAGTAGTTTTTGCTGTTTCCTATTTTTCAATTTTGGCTTTGATATTTGTTTGGAAAAGGCCTCAAAAATTCTTGTATTTCCAATAGTTTTATTTGCTTACATAAATTATTGGGCTTGTATCCTTTGAATTGCAGTATTACATCAAGATAGTTCTGATGCCTTTTTACAAATAGAACAATTTTATGGGCAGTATCTTGCCTTGTCATTTTACCAGACTAAAGAAATATGTTGGTGTGTGTGGAAGTCTTTCGGTCAGAGACCTACTTCACAGTCTATTGAATCTGTCCTCTCATACTTTACTCAAACCTGTGTCTGTACTGTAGGAGTAAATCTTACTGTTATCAATCCAATGTAATGAAGTTTATTAAAAATTTATCATGTTCTGATTGTGTATTATATAGATGTGTGTATATGTATATTAGATGCCTGCTAGAATCATTTGTTATATTGTGTGTTGTAGTTTAGTAAACTGGTGGGAGGACATTCTATACCTTCTTTGTAAATGTGCTATCTTTATCTTTTGCTTTCTCTTTGCAATTTAAAAGGGAAAGAAGTGATTATTATTTCCATACAACAATTTTTTTGTGGTGAAAAGACTTTTTCTGGTTGAGGGTATTACTTTTCCTTTTGTTTATTTCTTTTATTTTACCAACAAAAAATAAGTCCAAATCCTTACTTATCCATTATAGGTTGTAAAATGTACCTATCTGTAATTGGAAGAAGATTGCTGATTCTTATTTTGAGTGATCTACAAGTAGGGAAAATGTTGTGGTAATTGTAAATCCCAAAGACATTATTTACTATACTACATGTGTAGGCTAACTTCGTAAAGTTCTTGTGAATGTTGTTGTGAAGAGTTTTTTTTTTATTGGTCCACAGTAACACAAGCAGTGATTCCTATACATTAAGCCAATTTTTTTTAAAAAAAAAAATCCTTTGTTGTGTACGTTTATATTTCGCCCATGGTGAGACTTTCCAATTCTAGGGCAATGTCTCTTCTCATAGCAAATGTATGTGAAGTTAATTTTGTGGCCAAGAGGTGCAACACAAATAAGTCTTAAAGCATTTGTCTGCTGCTGCCTTTTGCCAATCAAGTCTGTGAGTGAACCGGGAACCATTGATATCAATGGTTACATAACCAAACAGCTCTATGTTACCACCAGCAGTCGTTTGATTTCAAGTACTTTCATATCTACTTTGGCATCTCACATATATTACCAGTGGGTTGTTCCCCAATGTAATTTTATACATGTTTGTCCTCCATATTTTTTTGAGTTTAAAAGGAAATCATAAACTATTAGTGATTCCTGGGAGGCCTCCTGTTGTAATTTTGCTGGATTATTTAAAGCAAGTTTATGCGAAGAACTTTGTGTGCTCACACATTTGCTCAACTTAATTGTTCAAAATTAACCTTCAGATAGACCAAACAAAAATTTAGTGTGATTAATGTACTTCAGGATTGGTGTGAATGGTATGTGTGTTTGAGTATCCTCTGTTCATGTGCTTTATTACAAGTAGCCTTTTGAACAGAAATGAATATATGGCCTCTCTAGGACAGATTCTATGTAGAAAATGTAACATATTTAAGGAGGAAGCGCGTTAACATCTGTGATATCATAGACACTAGTGTACATCAGCTAGTTCTATCAAAGCTACAGGAAAGTTTTTATGCAGAACTTTGTGAGAGAAACTTCAATGTTCTGTTTGATTCTGTTCCAGTTGCAGGAAAGGGTCAAATAGTTGACCAAAGTAAGGAAAATGGCATACACCTATCACATTTAAAATGAATATATTTTTGTTCTCTTTTAACACTGTGGTTTCTATATGAACTGTGCTGATTACTATATTTGTTTATTCAAAGTCTATTTTGACTGGTAACTTATGCTGGTGCACAAAAAAGAAGGAACACGCTAAGGCAACAAGGAGGTATTTTTATCTTCTTCAGGCAACAAATGAAATTTAGATAGGTAAAGTTCTCACAAAAGAATTTCTCATGTATACAGAAATCATCATTATTTTTCTCATTTTTGTGGGGGCTTGAAAACTGAAATGTATTGTAGAAGCTGTGTTTCTGTACATACATATATTATATACATTGTTATATATTTATGCTGTTTTGTGTCTTAGAACTCCAATTGAATGTATACTAGCTACATACAAATTATCTGACATTTAATTGTGTGGTTAAAAATGTTGGTTAGTGAACTTCATGTCTCTTAAATTTTGCTTAATTTCTCAATTGCTTTTATCTTGGGAGTTGCTCTTCAATGATTCTAGAACATCCACTGTGTTGATAACTAACTTCTTAATTTCTGTTCTTGCCTCAGCTCGCTACAGAGCTAATGTCACCAGTATTACTTTAAAAGTTAGTTTCTCACTTCATTTGAAATGACTGGAGCAATTTAGCTCGAACCATTGCTTTGTATTTGCTGAACATCTCTCAAATCAATTACTGATCAGATTCAAACTAGCTTGCTGTTGCTCTTAGGCATCAATTGTCAGCCAATCTATACGGGCAATGCCTCATCATATCCAATATTTGAAACATTTAATTTGACTTTCATGTTGGCTCTGAAAATCAAGGCTCGTATAAGAAAAAAGTTGTAATCTTTCCGTTTATGAATGATGACTATGACTGATTATCAATTAGTAAATTTGCTTGCCGGTAAGCTGTCTAGTATGGTTTCTTGAGAAATTTGTAGAAACTGTGGAGTACAATGTTGTGCATGTTGATATGAAATACAAACACCCAGATGATCAGTAGGCAGGAATCACATTTAAATATCTTTGGCAAGATATTACAAATATTTTATCAGAACAGGGTTATAAAGGCTTTGGAGTAATATTCATCCTTATGCCTGTATGCTGAGTACTAAAAGTCATTACTCTCTGGACTGATGAATGGCACAATCTTCTTATTATATAATTGACTACAATTTACCAAGCTAATATTAGTTGGCAGCATTAATTGTGGTGGTGTTCCTTTCTGTCAGTGGGTGAGCTGCTTTTCAATTGTATACATCTTCAGACCAAACTGAGTCATGTGGAATGTGCCATGTCGATTTGGTAAAACAAAAAGTTTAAAACAAAAAAATAAGCATCTACCGAATCTGTTCAGTCATTCCAAGAAACTTCAGGTGTTATAGTTTATCAGGATTTATAGTTTATAATGGTATATTATTATGTTTTAAGGTTTTGTGATTACTTTCTTCAGTCAAAAAAATTGAATGTACTTTAATTGTAAGCAAGTACCTGCACCAAACCAGGTGACGTGTAATGTGTGAAAGTATTCCATCACAGTAAAGAGCTGGCATCTTCATTCATGCCATCAAATCGGCTGCATTACTATCTGTTAAGCGTTAGTATACCTGATTGGAGAGAAAACCTAGACCTGATGAAGACTGGTAGTAGTGTTTCTAAATGTCGAAAATGATAAAAGTAATGCAGGTAATTTGGTGGCGCAACCTTTGTGCACAAGTATCCCCTTAAGTCTTTAATGAACTGCAATGTACTAGGAGGTTTTTCATTACTTACTCCTCAACATTATCAATCCTGTTTTCAGCAATTTCCAAAGTTTAATGGAAAAGACTCATGCTGAAGTTCCCAGGGTATTACTGTACCTGAGTTTAAACCTCTATTGTGTCATTTTTGTGCATTGCACGCATCATTATGAAAACCATTGTGATAATTGCTGCAACATCAACATTTCCATTTTTGTTTTTCATCTCTGTTGGAAGTTGCAGCAAAATACTGTGAATACAAAGTGGGGCAGAACTGAAAGTAGATATTTCTTTATTGAATGGTGATGCCAGCCACAAAGTAAAACTTTCTTACCACCTTATAGTGCAAATGTTGAGAACTATTGTGTATGAATTGCTGTTAGATCTGCCAGAATGTTATCTTTTACACGTATGTTACCATCATATGCTTTCTAGTTGTGGAAAAAAATGTGCTACTTGTGGCTCTTGTATCCCTCCATCCATCATTTCAATTCTCATCTCAGGCTAAGCAGACTTTTTAACATGTGAAAAGTGAGGGTTCTTTTGAATTTTATATTGCTCCTACTACTTAACTGTTTATTATTATAAACATCCAATTCGTATTGTTGTGGCATTAGTCAAAGTTGCCCTTACCAGCTAAAATTGTTCTGTCATAATTTTACTTCACCATCTCATCCTCATTTGTGCAGTTTATATTTCTATGAACATATTTGAAGATTTTGGTCTTTTAGGTGAGGTTTGTGTGCTGTCAATCACTTTCATGTATACATTAACTAAATCATATATATGTTATCAATTATCTCTATAAATATGTGTGAATAGAGTAGTCAGTCTTAGCAGAGGGGGCTTTGTCAAAGATACCCCTCTAAAATAAAACTTCTTTGTTTTATCAATATGTTTTTTATTGATTTGGGATTGACATGTAACTTGTGTGAATCATTTCATCTGTGTAACGTACGGTATTATTTCACTTTCTTTCTGATGTGTGAAAGTTCATGAAAAATAACAATTTTCTCTGACTGTATAAGAACATCTCAAGAAATTGGCATCTCTTATTCTGGTTCTAAACTTCAAATTGTGTTTAACATTCTCCTAAGCTTCATTTGGTGTATTTTGGTTTTTGTCGGATGTAACGTGATGCCAATAATAATAATAAATAGGTTCAGAAGAAAGCGTTTTGTCTCTTTTAAATTGCAGTTTCTGATACTTGAAAAATTTATTTGGATTCTTTTAACAGAATGAACTCAACATTAAAAACAAATCAACAAAACTCAAAATTCCTACAGTAAGGACCCGGTGAAATGAAGTTTTTCTAGAGCTCTAGAGTAAAACTATGTTTTGGCATGTTTTAGGGGGTGTAAAAAAGGAAATTTGACCTCAATCTCACCTCTGTAGGTCAAGCTGTTCCCAAGTTAAACTGATTTAAGTGTTTAAAATTGCTCAACTTTGGCGAACTCCTTGCGCAACACAGTATGGAGTACGACCCAACGCCTTTGACCTTCTTTTTATAATCTTTTTCTGAGGTCTGATCAGTGAGACATTTGCAAAATGTAAATTCAGGCAGCATCCACAACTTTTTAAAACACGTTTCCTCCAAAATTCACATTTTTGGCCAATTTTGACCAGTTTTAGAGCTTTTAGAGCTGTTATAAAAAATCTAGGAAGAAATTGAGAAAAAACTCACTGAAAAACACTTCAAGGAAGTCACAAATCAAAGGGCAGCTTTCTACCTTACAACCTGTCGCGCAAGAAGATTTTAAAAGACAAAGGTCCTAACAATGTTTTTTAGGAAAAAAACTAATTTTAGAATATTTTTACAAAAATTGCAGTTTTTTCACCAGACCCTTACCTTACCAAACTTAACTGATATATTTAATAAGAATAACATAAATTATAGTTCACAGTACAACTCAAAAGTAGCATTGCTACAATCTTAACAACGGATAATTTTAAAACGTAATGGCTCGGATTAAAATTCAAGAAATGCAACTGTTTTGTAACTTGTGAGGTATTTTAACACACAAGAAATACAAATGAGTTTTCCTTGAATAATTAAAAAGGACGGACATAACTTCTTCCAGTCTTGAAAACATTTGTACTAAACAAGTTAAGAACTACTGTGATCACACGCACTGAACTTGAACTCTCAAGACTAGAGTATCAGTTTCACCAAGGAAACCAATACTGAGCAAATCAGAAACTTTAACAAATTCTGTGTAACCAAAGCCTCTTGGACAGATTTCATGCCTAGGACGTCTGAATGCCTCAAGTTCCGGCCGAGACATCATAGTTTCCTTAAGATGGCGTTGAGGATCAGTAGGGTGGATAAGCTTCAGAGACATTCGGCCTGAGAAAGGCCAATCCAGTGTTACATCATTTTCACTACGCATCAGGTGGACTAGGACAGCAAGATGACTTCTATTTTTTGCTGACAAATTAAGTCGTAGGCAGAATCTAAAAGGAAAGTTTTGAGATTTGTGAGAAACTACAAAAGGGTTTTCAAACATCCATTCATGACTTCATTTCTTTTTGTCAACTCATCTACCTGTATCCATATTGTGATGTGTAAAAAGCTGGGCTGTATAACATGAGGAGGGGGTCTCTTGTCATAGCTGTCAACTGTTCTCTGAAGTTTGGAACCCTCCATATGTAAATGCCTCCACAATGAGTAGTTGCCAATTCATGTCTTACCCTTTCAAGTCGCGCATTACTTGTGGCAAGTTGTTGTTTCAAATTGTTCATTTCTATGGTTTGCTCATACCCTTTCTGTTCTAGAAGAACAACTTTTTCATAAAGAGCCCTAGAAAAATAAAAATTGTGTAAAAGATCATGAAGCTGACACATCAGTAAATTAAAATCAAAATCAATAACTGAAAAGTTCCGACCTTATGAGCTCTGGCCAATGAGTCTCGCCTGCATTGGAATTCCCAACTGTTGCTGTTGTGGAGCCAGCCACACTGTTCCCTTTTGGTTGAGGATCCCACATGCTGTTGGCCTCCTCAGCCTTACCATTCATTGTTTGGGTTTTAGATAGGTCCAACAGCTTTGTATAAGCCATTGACAAGAGCTAAAAATATATGTATGATTAACCATAAGCATTAAGCATTGCTTAATTTAAAAAAATATTTTTTCTCTAAACTATATGAAAGACCTTACGTTCAGGTGCTGTTGAAGGTTTGATTCGAGATGGGAGGCTAGCTCATCAGCACTGCTAATTGTGGTGCGACAGCCCACATTTTCAAAAGTACAATGCAAGGAGTTTTTCCCAGAGCCTGTTCTCTGTAAATTTTAAAACAAATTATAATTGTTAAATTTTAATTCAAAAGTGGTGACTGGTGAGCAGATTAACAAACCTGAAAAGAGCAACTGGGAATATGATTTTCAAGGTCAATTGGTTGTAATACAACTTTACAACCATATCCTGCGTTTGGACATTCAAGGCGAGTTTGAGCAATTTCTCTTCTGGTATAGTTGTCTACAAAGAGATCTGAGTCTGCAGTAAGAGGTCGATTATCAATCGGACAGCAGCTTCCTTCTCGCCTTGAAAAAAAGCAAGGTACAAAACATAAGGAATACTAAACAGTGAAGTAGAACAATCCAATTCTAAGAATCTTACTTTAGCCACATGTAAATGCATTCCTTGCAAAATCTGTGACCACATGATGTCAAAACTGGCTCTTTCAGACACGATAGACAGATGGGACATTCATAACGAGGGTCTAGTTGACTTCGACTCTGATAGGGAGAGTCTGATGCAGGCTGAAAGAAAATACATTCAATTATTAATAATAATTATTTCAAAAAATAATTCAGAGCCCAAGAAAGGGGTCCAGGGCGAAGAATAAACCTAACCTGATAAACAAAGCTCAAGCAAAATTAATTGAGTATGCTATCAATGTTAAAAGAAGACAGCAATACAATTTATTAACATACAAACAGAGGACACAGTGTAAACCAGTACAAGTAAGAAATGTGGAACGAAACAGTTACAGCTATCACCGCAATTTTCACTTATCTATTTCCCACTGATAAGAAGCTGCCAGCCCTTACCACAACGTTTTCTTGAGGTCCGTCTCCTGCAGCTTGCTCTCCTTTAGTATCCATGTCCTCAGCAGAGCACCCAAATTATTTTTTGAGCTCTGATCCACATCCACAAGCGGCTCGCTGAAGCGCAGAGACAAACATAAACAAAACAAAGCTGGAGCGGTGGGCTCGGCTGGAGCTGACAGGCCTGACAGGTGCGCCGCGGCCGCGCCGCAGGTGAACCAGGTGAACCACCGCTCGCAGGTAGTAAGGCCGCAAGTACCCATTTGCTTACGTAAAACCTGTGCCTTGAAAAGGTGACACAGGAGAGGATCTGGGTGGGTGTGGGAATATGAAGGGAGTCACATACCGTCTTTCTTGGCCGGGGACCTCATCGCCGCAAGTGCCTCAAAATTGCAGGGAAGAACAAAGCAAAAGCAGTTTTCAAAATGCGCGCTCTGATACTATTGCAGCTCCAAGCGCCACGCTGCCAGCGCGGGAAAGGACTTCAGATTCAAATAAGTGTCCGTGACGGTGACCTGCTGGAGCCCCTCTTGCGCGTGCAGCGTGCGCGCGGACACTGGTCGGGGCGGAGGTGGTGTCATGTGGCAGAGTGGCGCCTTGCTCGGCCGACCACTCCGTTCACCATCCACCCCAGGGGTATGGAGTGGTAGGGGAGGACGACTTCGACCGGAGCGCCGGATACCTAGCGGATACCCCCCCTGCCGCTGCTGCGGCGTCCACTACCGGGCCCCTTCTGCAGCACCTCCGGCTCCGGGACGTTCATCGGGCAGGTGACACCACCTGGACACACGACGCGACTCGGAGTGCCGTCGCTGCACCGCCAACTCAAAGGGGCTACCCAGGCTTGGTAAGTAAATGAGTTGAATAGGTGAGGTATTTGTTTATGTGTTTTTTTGTTGTTTCTTTTTTTGCCGGGTAGCTCTTTTACGGCCTTTACGACCCCGCCCCGGTGCGGCCTGGTTTTTAAGGACAGCGGTGACCTCGCGTGCTGGTTGGGCCGGGCCGGTGGGGGCTGCCCTCCGCATATCTCTCCGTTGTCAAGGACCCCCTGGCCGGCGCTGCCCGACCTCCAGCACTTCTTCCAAGCCACCCTGTAAGGCTTCCATAAAACATTTTGAAGAAAGTTCTTCGTTTTCATTGTTTTTTTGCGAGATTTGGTCCACCCACAGTAGGTCATCTCATTTTGGTAGTCGAAGTCGTCGATTTCGGAGGTACGCACATTTAATGATAGATTAGACCTAGCAGAGACCCTGTGCAAAGTTTGAGCCATGTACGATAACATTTACCCGACCCGCATCGCGATTTTCCGAGCGGGCTCGAAATTGGCGCGCGGTGACCCGACACCTTGTCGGCTCTGCCGTGCTCACCCGGTGGGGTCAAAGGTGACGGCTCGGGTCTCAAGTATGACCCTATGGGTCCTACTTCACATCCGACATGGTGAATCCGAGCTCGCGACTGACCGGGCGTC